AGCCTACAACTTATGTGCATTTAACTTGTGCACATTCAGCCTTACATGCACGGAAAAAAGGGGGGGAGTGGGGTTCTAGGAAAAATGACTTTGACAACCCCATCTGCCATGGAGCTCAATGGGTTTTGACTATATCTGATTTTGGCTTTAGGCAAAATCCCTGGAACATAACTCCAGTGTAAGTTGCAGGCTTACTATATACCCCTTAGCATCTTGACACCTCTAATGTTTTCTCTCTGTGAGTAATTGCGCTAAGCATAGGATTCTGCAGCGTGGAAGGTGACAATGGTGGATGTTGGTTGTCCTCCTTTGTTGCAATTAGGCATACCCTCATTGCCTGTGTCCTGCCAACCTAGCAGTTCGAAAGCACATCAAAGTGCAAGTAGATAAATAGGTACCGCTCCAGCGGGAAGGTAAACGGTGTTTCTGTGTGCTGCTCTGGTTTGCCAGAAGTGGCTTAGTCATGCTGGCCACATGACCTGGAAGCTGTCTGTGGACAAATGCTGGCTCCCTTGGCCAATAAAGCGAGATGAGCGCTGCAACCCCAGAGTCGGTCACGACTGGACATAATGGTCAGGGGTCCCGTTACCTTTACCTTTACATTGCCTGTGAGGTGCAAGGACTCCAGACTCCAGTGCAAATGCCTTACTCGGCACCTGAGCATTTTTGAACATAAGAACACAAATAAGACAAGTTTGCTGGATCAGGCAAACAGCCCATCTAGCCCAGGATTCTGTTGTCACAGTGACCAAGCTGTGGGCTGTGAGAAACCCGCAAGAAAGACATGAGCACAAGAGCACTTTCCCCTCCTGCAGTTTCTAGCAACTGGTTACAACCATTTAACAAGCAGACCACAGATATCCTCTGTTAAATCTGGGAGAGTCTGCTGTCTTGTCTTAAAACTTAAAATAGAACCAGCAGCTTCTGTATTTTCTCTGCCTTTCGTATACTTGTTTGCTGAATGTGGGAGGGGAATAGATTCCCAAAGCCACCAGTTTTGAGTGCATCCTAATTTCATCTCATAAAAAAAAGGAGAAAATCTGCTACACCGATTCCAGAAGCATCATGTAAAGATGCAGCTATTTCCTGGCTTTTCTTATAAGTGGAAGAAAATTAAGTTTCCTGTGATACAACATTGCTTATTGCGCTACGATTTATGAAGAGTTTTTGAGACTTGATATGCTCAGAGCAAGAGGTTGTATATTCCAACCCCAAGCTGTATTTTGTTTTGTAGTTAACTGTACTTGTAAGCATCTCTGACAGCTGAGACAGATTCATTTTATGTGTCCCAATTGCTTAGTTATGAGGCATCTTTTCCACTTTAGCTGTAAAAGCTGCTGAGATTTTATTTTTCACAAAGAAAGACGTGCAGTTGGGGTGGCAAAGCCTTGTTAACCAACTTTCAGTCTCAATGTTTTTTTGTCACCTGCTAAAAGAGGAATGGGAAACTTTGGCCTCTGGGGTCTTTGCCTAGCCCTCAGAACTCTGCCCAAGCCACAAGCCTCACCAGCCATGCTTTGCACCTCCCTTGAGTGTTTCTGACTGACTGGATGGCGCCCTTGAACTCTGATCATGCCCCTTGTTAACATATAAGCTAACATACAAGACCCTATGCAGCTGAGAATCGGGTTACTTGAGAGACTATCCCATATAGTCTTGGTAGGACACTGTGTTCTTGTGGGAGAGTTTTTTTTTAACAACCCAAAAATAACAGAGGTCCACTACACAGTAACTTGGAGCAGAATACCCCTGCTTTGTGGAGAAACATTTCTGGTGAGATATGATAAGCACCCACGATCTGCAGTTTCTGGAAACAATTGAGGGCATAAGTAAAGGTAAAGGTAAAGGGACCCCTGACCATTAGGTCTAGTCGCGGACAACTCTGAGGTTGTGGCGCTCATCTCGCTTTATTTGCCGAGGGAGCCGGCATACAGCTTCCGGGTCATGTGGCCAGCATGACTAAGCCGCTTCTGGCAAACCAGAGCAGTGCACGGAAACGCCGTTTACCTTCCCGCCGGAGCGGTATCTATTTATCTACTTGCACTTTGACATGCTTTCGAACTGCTAGGTTGGCAGGAGCAGGGACCAAGCAACAGGAGCTCACCCCGTCGCAGGGATTCGAACTGCTGACCTTATGGTCTGCAAGTCCTAGTCTCTTTGGTTTAACCCACAGCGCCACCCGTGTCCCTAATTGAGGGCATATTTGTATCCAAAAGCCTTTTCATCTGGATAAAAAGGTCTCTGCCTTAGATGCTCATTTTGTATTATTTAAAAACCTATCTTTAGTTAGGTTTTTGTTTGTTTTTTTGGTACTGTTCTTCTAAAACTATTTTTTAGCTATGCATGGTACATTTTAAAATTGCCTGGCAACAAATGTAAAAGGCAATCCATTAATTAAATCAATATTATTCTGTGAAATAATAGTACTTGGCATTGTGTAGCACGTTCAAGAGTTCAGAGTGCTTCACGTGTATAATCTAGTTTCATGAGAGCCAAGTCAGTAGTATCACCATATTACAGATGTGAGGACTGAGGCTGAGAGTGGCTTGCTTTGGGCAGCCTACTCAGTTCATGTCAGGATGTGAACTCGGGGCTTCCTGATTGATAGCGCATTCTCTTACCCACTATGCTTCACCAGGAAAAGCACTAAGCCCTGACTATTAAAATTAATGGAGCTTAAAAGTGCTTGACCTTGTTTTTCCTATCTAAAATTCTTATCTGTATTCTGACAGCATTCATAATCTAGAAAACCGCTGGGTTTGGAGAATAGGCATTCACTTTTACAAGCATGATTAAGTTAGGAGAATTTGTTTGAGAAATCTGCCCATTTCAGCTCTACAACCACTAAGCCATTAAGGCTCTTTTTCGACTGACCCTCAGTTGTTGCGTCGGCGAATGCTGCAGATATTAAAAGCAATTTATTTGAAGCTGAAATGTGTTTTCATGACAAGATCATGCATTTAAAGGCCTCCATTCTGTTCTTACAGACAGCGCATTGCATCTTCAACTTGTCGCTTGCAAAACAGTTATAATAAAAAAGCCATCTTATGCAACTTAGAGCTGAACGAGGCGGTGTTGCTATGATAGCAGACCATGATGTCTTTAAGAACAGTGGATTTCTGCTACCCTTCCTTGCTCTAAACACACAAAACAAAAGCCAGGATTATCATGTACAGTATTACACTGCTCCCTATAATGCAGTCAATTGTTCTCAACAATCCCATTTTGGATAACAGCACAGACAGTGCAGAGCTTGCTATGGTATGATTATGTTGCTAAAGTTCAAAAGACAAGGGCATAATGTGAAAATTAGACCTTCCCTAAGAGTTGCTTGCAGTGCTCCTGGTGCGCAAAAAAGCTGTAATTAAATGTCGTGTTGCATCAGGAAAGTGGCAGGGTTCCCTTGAACATTTAAGCGATTAGGAAGTTTCTGTGCCCTACATGCTTTATGTACATGGCTAGAAAAGGAGAATCAGACACAAGAACTACCCACGCTGGAAGAATGGCAGACGAAGGTGATCAACTACATGGGACTGGCGGAGATGACTGGCAGAATCCGTGACCAAGGAAAAGAGATGGTGGAAGAAGATTGGAATAAATTTAAAGTATATCTTAAGAACTGTTATAAAATTAATGAGTGCTAAAATGTCAAGGGTAATGAAAAAAACAGAATTACAGCTGTAAATGACTAAGTAAGAAAAGAAGGGAAAAAAGAAAATGAGTAATCAGTTAATTGAAGTGAGAGGTTGCTGAAGAAATCTTAAAACAGGGATGCAGAAAGGGGAGGCATGGGGAAGTCGGGGAAGTAAGATTTATGAAAAAGAGGTTTTGAAATTATACGTGTCTATATGTTTGTTTGTCTATGTATTGTGTATTGTATTGTCTTTAATTTATGTTGGAAAATCAATAAAAAATTATATAAAAAAGAAAAAAGAAAAGGAGAATCAAAGGAGTGCCCTGTCCTCTGGCCATTTTGCTTGCAATTTTTTTGTGTTACAAAAATCGCTACGGATGAAGGAAGGCAGCAATTTCTATTTTAACCCCTATTTTTCACAATCAGTGCTGTTTTCATTCTGCTGCAGTTTGATTTTCAACCAGTACTCCCCTATTCAGCCTGCCTTCAGCTTGTAACACGCGTTACTTACATATTTACATAACACATATTCATTTCAATGTATAGAAAGCATCAAAACAATGTAAACAAGGGCAAAAGCTTCATACAATCTGAAGAGAAACCAGCATACTCACAACCGGCCCTTCTATCTGTATGGCAGTGAACTGGTTGGACGTTTACTTACTGCTGTCATTGCAAGATTCTGGAGAGACATGTTGGGAGCAGATATACAGTGGTACCTCGGGTTAAGAACTTAATTCGTTCTGGAGGTCCGTTCTTAACCTGAAACTGTTCTTAACCTGAGGTACCACTTTAGCTAATGGGGCCTCCTGCTGCCGCCACGCGATTTCTGTTCTCATCCTGAAGCAAAGTTCTTAACCCGAGGTACTATTTCTGGGTTAGCGGAGTCTGTAACTTGAAGAGTCTGTAACCTGTAGTGTCTGTAACCTGAGGTACCACTGTAGACTGTTGATATACAAAGATGCATGCATTGATTTCTGATCCAACCAATCAGGTAACTTTAGGAGATGCATGGAATTGCTAGATGCTTAGCTCACATTTAAAACCCCCACAAAAAACAGCAACAGAAGATTGATCAGGATGGGGACCCTTTTAGGAGCTTTACCTGTCACTATAGTTTTGATCTGGATCAGGCCTTCTTCCTTCATTGTAAAGAAAAGCTTGCATTGGCTTGAATGGGAACCTATCTTTTAATGTGAATTGCTAGCATAGGCGCCAACTCCATGGGGCCTGAGGGGGCCCGAGCCCCCTCAAAAATTTTATTGGGGGGGCTCCGCCCCCCCAATAATTTAAGAAAATTATTGGGCGCGCGCAGCGGAAACGTCCTCCGCCGGTGACGTCACCCGGGCCTTGCGGAAAAGGCGCTGCGGGAGTCGCCGCCGCCACGGCGGGGCCGCTGCAGAAGGGTGAGTGGCGAGGGCGGGACGGGGCCGCGCGCTCCTTTCCTCGGCTGCCCTCGTCGCACGCCTTGGCTCCCGCGGCCGGCGAGGGGAGCCCGGGCCGCGCGCGGCTGCTGCTGCCGCCGCCGCCTCTCCTGGGGGCGCCGCCTCCCCGGGCGGGAACGCTGCGGGTGCGCGAGGGAGGAGGGCGGCCCCCGGGGGCTGGGAGAGCCAGGCTGCCGTGGCCGAGAGGGCTGCTCTGCCGGGCGCCGCTGACATTGGAACTTAGAAAACTTCCCGGGGCAGGACCCCGGTATGGGCCCCCCCAATATTTTTTATAAGTCGGCGCCCCTGATTGCTAGCACAGAGGTGTTGATAGGGCAATCCAGATCTGGACTGCAGCAGGAAAGCAAAGGCTTGCTGTTCCCTTTGTCCATGCCAGATTCGCAGTCTGGGTGAAAACTCCCCTCCCCTGTCCTCCTCCTTGCTGTTTATTGTTTTAAAAGCCATTAATGCAATGACTAATAGTGTGATTGACTCTCATCTAGTTTGGCCCTAAGAAGTGCACATTTACAATGATCTGCGAAAGCTCCAGTGTACCTTTTGCTATTTCCTATAGCTCAAATGTGGCTAGTTAGGAGTCCTGCTCATACAGCGATTAAAAGAGCTTTTAATAACTTTAATCAAATGCTTTCCCACGAAATAGCCTAGTCGTGCACAAGCCTCAGCAGTAGAGAGGGACTTGCCCAGGAGATCTTTTTTTTGTCATCCTTTAATTAGCCCTGATAATGAGGCCTCGTTTTAGAGGAAATCTTAATTTAATAGCCTTGGTATTGAATGACCTTGTTGTGGGAAAAGGCATTTGTCTGTCTGCATGTGTGGAGGAAATGCAAATAATAAAGGTTGCTTTGGCCCGCTGCCAAGCAGCCATAACAAACTGAACGTCATCGCTTGAAATGTGCTTGCTTTGCAGGTCGTGCTGAAGAAGTCCCTTGCCTGGCTGGCAAAACGTGTTTCCTAACCACAGGAAGGATTTAGCCAGGGACAGAACGGTGAATACAGTATGCTATATGAGCTGGTCAGTGTGGGGTAGAGCTTAAGAGTGTTGGGTTAGGACTCCAGAGACCAGGGTTCAAATCTCCACTCAGGCATGAAGCTTGCTGGGTAGCCTGAGGCCATTCACTGTCTATTACCCTACCCCACAGGCTTGTTGTGAGGATAAAATGGAGAGGAAGAGAATCCTGCATGTTGCCTTGGAAGAAAAGTGGGATATAAGTAAAGCAAGTACTGTATTTTTTGCTCTATAAGACGCACCAGACCACAAGACGCACCTAGTTTTTGGAGGAGGAAAACAAGAAAAAAAATATCCTAAATCTCAGAAGCCAGAACAGCAAGAGGAATCACTGCACAGTGAAAGCAGCAATCCCTCTTGCTGTTCTGGCTTCTGGGATAGCTGTGCAGCCTGCATTCGCTCCATAAGACGCACACACATTTCTCCTTACTTTTTAGGAGGGAAAAAGTGAGTCTTATAGAGCAAAAAATACGGTAAATAATGAAAGCACTGAATATTAACGGTGGCTTTGTTTGCTTGAAGCTCAAAGCAAGTACTTATTTTACCCCAGGAAATAAACGGCCACAGGGGCCGGATTAAACTGACCAGCGGGCCAGATTAGACCCCCGAAAAAGGCATTGGACATGTCTGCTGTATGTTTTTCTTATTACAAAGATGTACTCCTAGCTTTTCTGCCTCTTGTCACGTTTCACTGCCTGGCTGGGACAAAAAGAGCAACCCAGAGCCTTGGAACAAGCTGGGACCCAATGACCAGTACAAGGTATGATATGAAATACTTAACTAGGGTTATGATGATGAAGCCATCTGCACAACTCATATGTTTAAATCATCCAGGAAATCTTAAAACTGATTGCACAATGCACTTAATGTCCAAAGTCCATTTTTGGGGCCTAATCCGGCCTGTTGGTCGGTTTAATCTGGCCCCTGTGGCAGTTTATTTCCTGGGGTAAAAATATCACTAAAAAACCTCAACAAATTCAATCCTAAGAAAAGGCTAACAATTTTAGTCGGCCCTTTGGTCGGCCCTCACAGCCCTTCACTTCATCAAATCTGGCCCTCTTTGAAAAAAGTTTGGACACCACTGAAGGGTTAAAGTCAAAGAGTTCAAGAGAAGCAGAGAAGGGGGTAATGTATACTGACCCCCCCATGCCGCTTCTGTTGGAAAAGGGGCGTGGTTTAAGTAGCCTAGTCGCCCTACCCCTTCCCATTGTGCCCTGCCCCTTTCCCTGCAAGGGTTCAGGTGAGGGCAAACTGCCTTGGGGCGCAGCAAGCTTTGGTGGGGGGGGGGCTGGGGTGAGGATGCAATGCCAGTGGGATGATGGACGGAGAGATAGCAGGCAGGGAAGCTGCTGGGCAGGTGGGGGAGGGAGAGACCCTCCCCCCCAATGAAGGGTGGTGGGTCTGCAGCTGAGCCCCCCCCCCATTTTGAGTATTCCGAATAGCAATATGGATACTATAAACCTATGCAGAAATACATACATTTCCTAAATTTCAGTTGAGTTTCCTGCATTTCAGGGGATTCGAGAACCTATTTCTTAACAGGTTTAATTGGGTTTGGTGCTTTCTCTTTGCAAGTCATTCCTTGAACAGCTTCCTGTGCAAAGATAAGGCTTGCTTTCACTGCTCTGTTCATTTGTGCATTTGACTAGTGTTGTGTGGAGGGAAATGCAACCACTGGGCTGAAAAATATCCCCCTCCTGTGTTTGAAATTCTAGAATAAGAAACTGCCTCTTTCCCCTCAGCTGCTATGTCTGTTTGTGACATCACAGGAGACCATCCATAGACAGGGCTGGGGAAACTAGGCCTCAAGGGGGGGCACATTTATAAATAAACAAATGATGACTGAGGTGCCCCCCCTTGTGACACGTGTGGCATGTGGACTCCATGGCACCCTAAGATACCCTCCTTAGCACCCACCAAGGCCCCCTGACCCTCCCATTTTTAAAAAGTTTTCCCAAAATCTTTACAGTAGTACCTCGCAAGATGAATGCCTCGCAAGACGGAAAACTCGCAAGACGAAAAGGTTTTTTGTTTTTTGAGCTGCTTCGCAAGACGATTTTCCCTATGGGCTTGCTTCGCAAGACGGAAACGTCTTGCAAGTTTGTTTCCTTTTTCTTAACACCGTTAATACAGTTGCGACTTGACTTCGAGGAGCAACTTATAGCACGCGGTGTGGTAGCCTTTTTTGAGGTTTTTGAAGACTCTGGTGATTTTTGAAGCTTTTCCAAAACTTTTTCGACACTGTGCTTCGCAAGACGAAAAAAATCGCAAGACGACAAAACTTGCAGAACGAATTAATTTCGTCTTGCGAGGCACCACTGTAATTTTTACAGTGCTGCAAGACAGTTTGTTTTGGCAGTCGGGGGAATTGGTATTATTTATTTATTTATTTTGCCCTTTTAGAGAGAGAAACTGGTTCCTTTGACTTAAGGTCTCTGGATCCTTTTAAATAAAGTGATCTTGACAAAATGAGTAAATTAGGAAACATTTTTATTATACACACTTGCAAGTGGGGTAACCCAAGATCAGGCACATCTTCATCAGGAAAAACACATAAAGTTGCATGTCCAGCCGCAAGTCCCTCCTTCCACACCCACAAGAAGGGGCATACCAGGTTACAGAAGTATCACATCTGCCTTATTAACATTTTACCATTCCACTTCCCACATTAATCAGAATACAATACAATACAATACAATACAATACAATACAATACAATACAATACAATACAATACAATACAATTACCTTTATTGGCATTTCATGTTAAGACATTTCAAAATGGCTTGAGATACAAAGTCTGTCTTCTTCCTGTTTCCTGTTTCTGAGAGATTTGAATGGGGAAATCCTTTCGATTCTTCATGAATAAGAGGCAGTGGGGTGAGGGAGGCCAGGGCCACATCCACACCATTTAACGCGCTATGAAGCCGCTTTAAACACTCATGGCTTCTTCCCCCAAAGAATCTGGGAGCTATAGTTTGAAAAGGGTGCCGAGAGTTGTTAGGAGACCCCCTGTTCCCTGGCAAGAAGGGAACCCTACCCCTACCCCTGAGGCTAACCCTAATTCTAACCCCAACACTAACCCTTAACCCTTAACTTAGAGCTACAATTCCCAGAGTTCCCTGGCAAGAAGGGAACCCTAACCCTAACCCTGCCCCCTAACTCGAGCTACAATTCCCAGAGTTCCCTAACAAGAAGGGAACCCTACCCCTACCCCTGACGCTAACCCTAATTCTAACCCCAGTGCTAACCCTTAACCCTTAACTCGAGCTACAATTCCCAGAGTTCCCTAACAAGAAGGGAATCCTACCCTCACCCTAACCCTCACCCTCACCCTAACCCTAACCCTAACCCTAACCCTAAACCACCCTAACAACCCTCCATCCCCTTAACAACCTACAGTTCCCAGAATCCTTGAGGGGAAGCCATTCCTGTTTAAAGCGTCTTCATAGCACTTTCACTGGACAGTGCGCCTAATGTGGCCTAATGCTGCCTCCCTCATTTTCTTCTCTCTCCCCACTGCGCCATCACTTGCAATGCAGCAGATGTCCACCTGCAGTCTCCCTTCAAAGCTTCTTCTCTCAGGTATGGCCACGGCCTAGTCCATTGCACACTGCCAGGTTTTCACATTCATTTCTCTGATGTAAATAGGGACGTCCTGTGGTTCTCTTCATGACTTTGAAGGCTGGATTTGGGGAAAACCTCACTGGCTCCAGACATCCCTGTAAGGCAAAGGCAAACAGGTGAGTGGGATGGCCCCCATCCGACAGCGTCCCCCCAGACTCCTCCTCTGTTTGGCTGCCTGTTCACAAACAAGGCTTCCAAACCAGTTTGCACCCATCTCAGCCAGCGTAGCCTCGCGGCATCCACTAGCCTGAATGCAAACTCTTCCGACAACCATCCACCAGCTGCAGCCTCGCCAGGTCCATTGCCAGACATCAACCAGCTTCAGAGCTGAATATCAGTCGCCCTCAAGTAGCGATCCCACCAGCAAGTAAACTTTGTACTTGCCTTCTCCTTGCTCCACAGCATCCCAGCACCGGGCGATTGCCTCCTTCCGCTTGCCAGCTTGCCGCCATGGGGCAGGAGACCACCTGGGCTGAGTGCTACCGAGCTGCCCATTTCTCTCTGGGGAGGACAACTGCCGAGGCCTGCGCCTTGGCCCACATTTATACCCGCTCAGCTGCCAAATGTTTTTGTCACATCACTTTCAACCCACAGACAATGGCAGCAGCTGGGGAGGCATCATCATCACCCCCTCAGCCCTCACAATGGTGAGTGCAGCTCAGCAGCCAAAACACCCCCCTCCCCAAGTTGTGCCAATATCTGTTTTTATAGTATCCACATTGCTATTCGGAATACTCGAAATGGGGGGGGGGGCTCAGCTGCACACTGACCTCCCTTCATTTGGGGGGGAGGGTCTCTCCCTCCCCCACCTGCCCAGCAGCTTCGCAGCCTGCTATCTCCCCTTCCATCATCCCACTTGCATTGCATCCTCCCCCAGCCCCCCCCAAAGCTTGCTGTGCCCCAAGGTAGTTTGCCCTCACCTGAACCCTTGCAGGGAAAGGGGCATGGCACAATGGGAAGGGGCGGAGTGACTGGGCTGCTTAAACTACACCCCTTTTCCAATGGAAATAGGGGGTGGGTCCTCCGAGAGAGAACAACAACAGAACACAGAACAAAGAAGACGGAAGTGGCGCACAGTTCCTTCTGTTCCCTCGCTTCCAAAGAATGGAATGTCAACACATAGAGCGTGTGATCCAGTAGTCACACACCCTCTGCAGCACGGGAGAGAATGAAACTGCTGACATCCAGCACCTTCTTCTCTGCTTCTCTTGAACTCTTTGACTTTAACCCTTCAGTGGTGTCCAAATTTTTTCCAAAGAGGGCCAGATTTGATGAAGTGAAGGGCCGTGAGGGCCGACCAAAGTTGTTAACCTTATTTTAGGATTGAAGTTGTCGAGCTTTTTTTAAGATTGAAGTTGTTGAGATTTTTTTAGGATTTTTACCCCAGGAAATAAACTCCCACATGGGCCAGATTAAACCGACTGGCGGGCGAAATTAGGCCCTAGCTGCTTGCGGCAGTTCACATCTGATGGCTTTTACAAACCACTCTTGAATTCCTATACCAATAATTTAGGGATTTTCACCACTTTGTAACTAGTTCAGGTTTTACTGCCTGCACAACTATTTTTGATGAATCTGACCTTTGGAGAGTTTGTAAGTAACACAAACACATGTTCATTTTCTAAACAAGGTGTTGTTAAAATGAATTTCTTCTAGCCAAGCCAAGCCAAGCATGATGGTGGTTAAAGATTCAGAAATCACTTTGCTTCAGTTGAAGATTTATGAGCATAGAAAGCCTTTTCTGCATTTCGTTATGATTTGACCCTGACCTCATTCTTCTTGGATGCAAAACACAAAGTGAGTTATGCTGTGACATCAGCTCACTGGAAACCTATAAAAGCTACTCTTGTGTTTAAGTGATTCATATTCTTGCTGTGTAAACCTTGAGTTTCATGAAGATGGATAGGAAATATGTTGGTTGCAGGAAGTATACAGGAGCAGACTTAAAAATGGAAATTAGTAGCCAAGATACTCAACTTTCCACTTTGCATTTAGGACAAGCACAATGTCTGGCTTGGAGCTGAGCTACAAATCTGTTGCAGCTCTTGCTGGATTGTGCCATTTCAGAATGCAGGGATGGAAATAATACATTTGTATGTTACAATGAAAACAAAGCTCCCTGTAGACATATCGGTTGGGGGCTTGTTCTTGGTTAGGGAAACAGTCTAGAAGAGGTATAGCTGGATATATTGATATCTGATTATTTTTTGCTCCAGGAGTAATTACTTCAACTGTAAAATTAAGCTTTCCTCTTTCTTTTCTAAATTCACTTTTTAAAAAAATATTTAACATGTTGCTTTCCTTAAAATTTAGTAAAAGCATAATTTGTGTTGGAAAAATTGGGCTTAGGGACATGTTATTCACACCACTTCAAAGTGCCACACCACTCTTACCAGTATTGGGAGTAAGTTTGGGCTAGTTAAAGGGGTTGTTTAGTGAAGGCTAGAGAAGAAGAAAGTTTGCCACTTGGTGGCATTGGTGAAGTTAACAACAAAACTACCAGACTTTTAGAAGACATCTGAAGGCAGCCCTGTTTAGGGAAGCTTTTGATGTTTAACAGACTATTGTATTTTAATATTTTGCTGGAAGCCGCCCAGAGTGGCTGGGGAAACCCAGCCAGATGGGCAGGGTATAAATAATAAATTATTATTATTATTATTATTATTATTATTATTATTATTATTATTATTATTATTATTATTATTAGGCTGGTTTGCTTGCCTCCTTTCCCACTCACTGTGTATGCCACAGCCTGTGCCATCACAAAAGACAAGCACAGATCAGCAGGAATTAAAATAGCTCCTATTGTATGTTTTTAAAGACCAAGCTAAATAAAAAACATCTTTAGTAGCTGCAGAAAAAGATTAAGATATAGCATCAGCCCAGACACTTTATTGAGAGAGTGCCACAACTGAGGAGGCCCTTCCTCTGGCTGAAACTGCCTAATCTTTGAAGCTGCAGAAGGACTTCAGAAGGCAACCTTTATATTTGTCAGAGATGGTCCTTTAGATGGTAGATTGGCTCTTTCAAATTTCCTCAAGTTCTGCCTCTCTGGCTTATAAATGTTGCCTATTGTGATTTTTAAAAATACATGTTCAAAATGCAGTTATAACAAGGCTAATGTAAGTGTTGTATTTTTAAGAACTGCCCCTTGGGGGCAGAGCATGGTTAGAGATTAGAGAAATCCGCTTCTCTCTCTGTGTCTCTCTGTCTGTCTCTCTCTCTCTCTGGATCTTATTGCTAATTTATCGATCATTTTGAGAACGTTTAGTTGAGCCCTAGTGAGGGATTATCGTTTCTATGTACATTGCCCTGTGAAATGTCAGGGCCTGTAAAGGGAAAGGAAATAAAATATTTCATTTCCCTTCTGTGGTCTTGCAACTCAGATTGAACTGCACCTTTTTGACCCCTGCAGCTTGCCGTGGATATGGCCATCTTCCAGAGGTCTCTCATGTTGTCACTTCCTGCCTACCTTCATTAAGGAAAAATGGCCGATTCGATGGGAAACATGACAAGATGTACAGGATTCTTCTAACCTCATTAGACAGTGAGGTTGAGGGAGTCCTGATGATGCTGATTGTAATGGAAAGCTTGGTGGAGAGAGGTCAGATAGTTGTGTCTGGAAAAAGAGATGACCGAGGCATTTAACAGGACACACTATGGAGATGTGCAGCAAATTAAGGGACACACACAGTACAAACAACTGGGGGGAAATCCAGCACTAGGTTGGTTTTTTGGGGTGGGTGGAGGTCTTGGGTAAGTGCCCCTGAGTGTAGGCCACCTTCTTTGTACAAACTCTTACCATCCTCGCTACCATTGGCACTGGCTGCTCTCATGCCAGGGAGAGTTCTGATGATGTAGGCAGGAACATCGTTTGCTTATCCTGCTTTCGGTTGGTGCTGCTTGCTTGCTTATCTCCTCTGGGCCAGATGAAGGGTGAACAACTACATGGAAGAGGAGGAGGCAGTGGTGAGATGTTAGACTCTTCACAGATTCCTAAACATAAAGGGCACTGGCAAATGTCTGACCATACCTAGCCCTGATGCTGCTCCTGGCTAGAAAAAGAGGGCATGAAAACTTGTAAGGAAGAGAAAGAAAGAAGCACCCCAGAATCTAGAGTTTGTAATATTTGGAAATATATTGATTCCTTTTACTAGAGCAATTGTTATCCCAGGCTCAGTATGTTAGAAGAGCAACAGCAGGGATCATTCTGTTAGTAAACTAAGGGTTAGCTCTGTTGACTGCTAGACATCCAGCCAAGAGGGCAGTTGTGGTGTAGAAGGTGTTACCTAGCAACCAGTCAGCGTGGCATGATTGTTCCTGAGGTAACTGAAGTTCTGATGCACTGTGTAGTTCTGAAGGAGTTGAATATCTAACCCTGCTCTTAACAAGGCCTGAATTAGCAAAGACAAAACATCATCTGTCCCTTTCCCCTCAAATTATATCCTGTTTTAATTCAGTTTACACAGCAAAATGGTAGATTCTTTTTTCTCTGGAGTCTGTCTGAGTTATTCAAGTGCCTCTGCTAGCACTGTATACATGACCCCTCTTGTCATAATACTAGGAGGAAGGGCAGTAGCTCAGTGGTAGTGCATCTGCTTTGCATGTGTCCCAGGATCCCCAGGTAGGGCTAGGTGAGAACCCTGTTTGAAACCTTGGAGAGCTGCTGCCAGTCAGTGTAGACAATTCTGAGGTAGATGGATGCAATGGTCTGACTCTGCACAAGGCAGATTCCTATGTTCCTATATTAGAATTCAGGGACATCTAATGAAGCCAAATGCTGGAAGGAAAAAAGGAAAGTACTTTACACAACTCATGGTATACGCACTTCCCCAGGAGACAGTGAAGGCCACCAACTTGGATGTTTTTAAAAGAGGATTGGACAAAACCATGGAGGATAAGGAGATCAGTGCTATGCTTTATCTCTACTGTTGGAGGCAGGATTCTTCTGAATACCATTTTCTGGAAATCACAGGTGCTGCCGAGTTCAGACTCTGTATTTATATGGTTGGTTCCTGTGAGGAGAGGGTGCTGGACGGGCATTTCACTTGATCCAGCAGGGCTCTTCTTCAATATTTATGTTCTTGGCAGAAATGTTGATAGCCTTATCCTCTGCTATGCACTCCCCACCCCTACCAATAATCTATCACAAAGGTGGATGGGTCAAATAAATAAAATAATAAACCACATTGATAACGGACTGGATGTGAGCCAACAAACTTGAGGCTCAATCCAGATAAGACTGTTAGTGAGTGGTTCTCTAGACCAGATGAATGGGAGTTTGCCTGCTTTTTGGTGGGGTTACATTCCCTCTGAAAGGGCAGATACATAGGGGTACTCCTGGATCCTTTGCTGTTGCTTGAGGCTCAGGAGACCTCAGTGGCCTACCATCAGTTTCAGCTGGTAGCCAGTTTCTGAGCCTAGTTCAAATTACTGTTTTTGACTTATAAAGCTCCAAATGACTCAGGACCGCAATATCTCAAGAATCACCTCTCTTCATATGAGGTCCAGAGAGACAGCAACAGGAGAATGGGGCTTTTCTGTGGAGGCTTCCCATTTGTGGAATACTCTCCCAAGGGAGGCTTGCCTGCCACCTTCATTACCTATCATTAGGCAAAAACTTTCTCTACAACCAGGCCTCTGGCTGAGTAAACATTCTATGCCCTTTTAAATATACAGTATAGGGGGTGGGAGGGTGGGCGTGTTTATTGACTTGTTTTTGTTGTGTATTTTGTGTTCTCATTTTGTATTTTTTATGTTTACAACATAAAATTATGTTTACAACATAATCTTTAGATGAAAGGCGGTATGCAAATGTAATAAATAATAATAATGATTTGAAATGAAGTGAGCCAATCTTTTTGCCTTCTGAAAGTTATTGTGTGTGTGTGTTAAGTGGTGGGTATTCTGGAAGATGGAGCTGTGTTGAATTAGAGTGCTTCTCAAACTTGCAAATCAGATTTTGAGTTTTCATTTCCATTGATGAATAGTCAATTTTGATGTGTGTAGTTCCGGAACTCCAACCTGGAATTATTCATTTTGGCAAAACATTTAATTTGCTTCATGAGCTCTCATTTTGGCTAATTCACTTTGACATCAAGGCATACATTTTTGTTTCCATTAACATGATGATGAAGTGTGTGTGTGTGTGTGTGTGTGTGTGTGTGTGTAGCTGCCAATGATGGCATTAAGCTACAAAGTCACAAAATTTGGAGAAGCCCAGGAATGCACCGGCAATCTTTAAGAATTTTTAAAATACTGTACATTTAAAGAGAGTATTTGTTTTGAGTATCCATTATGAGAAGTTCTCAAATGGTGGTCTACAGACCACTAGCAGCCTGTGAGCTCCACGCAGCTGATTTGCAGAAAGCCCATGGAGTAATCAAGAATATCTGAACTTGATTTATTCTTTTTGATAATGGAGATGAAGGCCATATTGACCAGGACTGGATATCAACCTGTTACACTGTAGCCTATCTGCTTCCTGGTGTATCTGAGTAGGATTGTTGTGCCCAGTGGGTTAAAAATAGGATTGGACAAATCCATGAAGGTGGAATAAAGGTTGGAGGCCGTATACCTCTGAATATTGGTTGCTGGAAATACCAAATTGAGGCATTGGTTGGAGAAAGAGGATTCAGTCCATTTGCACCCACCTGCCCTGTTCCTTGGATGGTATGGATAAAGGGGAAGGGGAACAATGAGATGGGAAGAGTCCTGTGAGTCTTCTCCTCCAAACGTACACTGCTCACATGAGTGGACCATTTCTGCAAGCACTTACTTTTTTTTTTATTAAAATTTTAACAATTTTTTCTTTTACAAATTATTCAAACATTTACATATTTACCATATTACCAAATTTTTGACTTCCACCAGCTCCTCCCACAATCCTCATATTTGTATATTTATTACACATTTCCTTTATAATATATTGCCAATTGATAATCTCCTCTCTTCTCATTTTCTTTTACAATACCCTTTCTCATCACAAAGCCTCTTTAAAACCGACTAGCGTTGTCTGTTCATCACAGATATTTTCCAGATAAATCGTAAACTTTCTCCAATCCTCAGTGCCATTTCTGCAAGCACTTACATTAGGTGTGTGGAACCACAGGCCTAGGGGGAGAATGTGGTCCTGCCGGCCTACTCTCAGACCATGCCCCTCTTCCCAAGCCATACCTCTCACTGGCCCTGCTTTTTTACCCTGAGTTGTGGTGGGTTTTTTTTTAATAAAAGAAAAAATCTGTATGGAACATTCCCTTGAACTCTGATAACGCCCTTTGCTTGCCTGCTTGGAGGATAGAGAGGGATGTGCAAGTGTGTGTAGAAACAAGCCTATTGTCAATTTAAGATTTGTTGCTCTGCCTGAATCAGTTCTGAACAGAGTGCGACTAGGTTGGTGAAGTGTAGTGTATTGGGTTTGATTGTTTGGTTTTTGGAGCTAGGTTCCATGAAACCTGAATAGTTTAAGTGGGACTTGGAATCTCCCCCTTCCAACCTTCTGCATTAGAGTATTGATTCTTATTTATTTATTTAGGTAAGCACTATTTTCGTCAATCTTTTAGTGCTGTTTTTTTACTCCACTCGTCAGGCAAAGCCATATAAGTCATTCCTGTGACAAGCATACAGCCAACACCGTATACCAAGCACTGACAATTAAATAAAATAATACGGATTATTAGTGAAAATCTGCTGACATAACTTGGCTGGAAATGCAGGCATCCTTGTATTCTTGGCAAACTTCGCTTGTTGTTTAACCACTTAATCCTTTTGCTTCCTGCATTTTGTAAGCCTCGTGGAAGGCTCAAATTCCCATGACTTTGTGCTTTCTGGTCAGAAGGATCCTGAGGGTGATGATGGTTGGCCCCTGAAATTCCCCAAGAGGTAGACTCTCAAATGCAGGCCTCAGACTTGCATGCAGGAGAAGCCTTAACAGAGAGTGAGGCTTCTATCCTTGGTCGTAGAGGAGATAATTTGCTGGCCTCCTGGGTCTCAGATGACTCCTTCCCTGAACTGCATGCCAGGCAAGAGAGCTTTCCACCTCTGCATTACTATGCCTGGGGTCTAAAAGAGGCCTTTCAACCTCAACCAAGAACACGTGCACTAAATATGCAAGTGTCTATTCAGAAGTGAGCTGCACTGAATTTAAGGGGGTTACTTTCAAATGAATATATGGATAATTTTTTAAGGCATTACTGCTGAACAATATGGTTCTTGTTTTGCTAACCAAGTGAAAGTAATTCCTTTCTGACTTTACTGTATTCTGCACATAGAGAGAGATGCAGAGCACAGAAGTCTACCAATTGTCAGACAGCTGGGAAAAAACCCTTTAAAAAAGTAAAATGATGATGGTGAGAATGGTGGAAACAAATCAATTTATGTTTATCAATGCTTTGCCCATTCCAAAAGTTCTGAAAAAGATCTGTTCATATATCCATCTGTCCATCTATCTTATGCAGAGAGAGAGAGAGAGAAACAATTTCAAAAGCCAGAAAAAATGTAGGGGAAACTATCAGGGAGAAACTCTGATAGGATGGGAAAATGTGGCATCTCCAAGAGGTGTTTTTTGGGGGGGGGTCACATAAAATGAAGCTGGGGACCTTTTAGGTCTTGGCCAATGGTTGACTACCTGTGATATAAAACGTTTGTCAGATCCAGGTCAGCGCTGGAACAGAATTGATGACTTCCTACTGATCTTTGACTATCCAGACCAATACTACTTCATTGGGAGCTATCCATGGTTCTGACTTCACCATCCAAAGTGGCCAATACCACAATAAGCCTGCAATTTGTGCACATTTAAGTTGTGCACATTCAGCTTTACACACATGGCATTTTTTTAAAAAAAGTGTGTGTGTGTGTGTGTGTGTGTGAAAAATAGGAGGGATTCCAGGAAAAATAACTTTAGCAATTCCAATTGACTATATCCAATTTTGTCTTT